TCCGAAAGGCTTTTCCCTCACGATGCCCGACGTTTGGTGACGGTGCACGTGGTTCGTTCGTATTCATTTGAACAGCAGCAACTGTTGGGACTACGGTAGTCGGGTGGGTTGAAGAAGCGGACGGCGATGGAGTTGGAGCAGGAGATGGAGCTGCTAATTTTGAGGGCAATGTCACTACCACTGGTACGACTCGAGGTTTTGGAACCCCTCTGCGACATCTGAAAGTTGTAGATTATTGAGGGGTAGCTCAGTGTGTAGCGATTGCAACGCTTGCAAGCTCAATTTTCAAAGTTTTCGAAACTAGGTCATGTTTATACTCATTTTGAAGCGCAAAACGTGAAAAACTCAAAAATCATAATTTTGAGGAGATTAGATGAAAACTAAGGGAGTTACAACCGGTTTTTTGAAATTAGCAGTAGAGCGCGTTTGCCGAAATTTTCAAAGTTTTTGAAACTAGGTCGTGTTTATACTCATTTTGAAGCTCAAAACGTGGGAAATTGAAAAATCAAGTTTTCGTTTAGATTGGACAACAACTAAGCGAGTTACAGGCTGTTCGCAATAGAGCGCATTTTCGCTGCACGCGAAATTCAAAAACCTACTGTGATTTTCCTTCTGTTCGTCTACATTTTTCCTCTTGTTTACGGACTGGCTTGTTTTGAGAATTTGTCACCATTTTTTAACCACCCAACCGGCTTACAATATGAAAATGATTGGAAAATACTTGGATTTCGGGGGAATATTGATTTTTTGATCTTTTGATTTTCGTGGAATTTTTGGATTTTTTTTGAAGGAGGGAGAGGAGAGAGAGACTGTTGGGGGACACGAAAAATTGAGAATTTTCAAAAAAAAAATTCACAACCTGAAAATCTGAAAATTCTGAAATTCGGACATATATCCCAAAAAACCATGAATACAGAACATTTATTTTTGAAAAAGCTATTCGGAAATCAAGAAAAAAAATTAACTCCATGATGGTGGAATCCAAGGACCGCAGCTTCTGAAAAAAAATTTTCGCTGTTGTTAGGCCAAAAATTTTTTTGATAAATTCTTTATCAGTTGACCACTTTTTGATATCTTTCGCAGAAATTGAGATAATTCAAGTCAGACAGCAGGCCTATCTATCTAGATGTACCCTACCCTTCAGTGTAGGGTTATTACGATAAAAAAAAACTTACAAGTTCATAAATAAATCGGATTTTGTCCAATTCGTCGAATGTGTAATAGCCCTCTGAAAACTCATTTTAGATTTTTTTTAATTTTCAGATTTGTTTTTCATTCAATCAAAATTAGACTAAAACCAAGAGAGTTACAGCTGCTTTTCTAAAATAAGCAGTAGAGCTCGTTAGCTGAAACTAGGTCATGTTTATACTTATTTGGAAGCCCATAACGTGAAATATTGAAAAATTAAATTTTGATTCGGATTGGAATAAAATTAAGTGTGTTACATACGAATTTCTGGGAATTAGCAGTAGAGCGAATTTCGCCCATTTTTCAAAGTTCTATGAACTAGGCCCTTTTTATACTCACTTTGAATCCAAAAACGAAAAATTTCCAAAAATCTAAATTCCGTCAGGATTGGACCAAAACCAAGCGAGTTACAACCGATTTTCCGAAAATTAGCAGTAGAGCGAGTTTGCCGAAACTAGATTGAGTTTATACTCATTTGGAAGCCCATAACGTGAGAAACTCAAAAATTTTGTTTTTATAAGAAGGATAGTATGATTTTGGTGAATTTCGAAAAATCGAAATTCAAAAAAAATTACCTGATTTGTTTGAGACAGCGAAGATATACGGTGCTGGAGTGATGGGGACGACTTCTCCCTGAGCGTCACCTGAACTAGATCTTACGGTAGCGCCACTCTGAATAGTGATTTCTGAGCTGCAGGTATTTCAAAAATCGTCATGTCTCATTAAATTTTTCAATTTGATTTAGATTTTCAGAAAATCATGGAATTTTTCAGAATCGCCAGATTTTCGCCGAATTTTCCAAATTTCAAACTATTTTAGTCACAAAAAAATTTTTGATGAAAATCACGAATTTCCAGTCATTATTCCTTGAATTTCGACCAAAACCGAGCTTACCAAAAATCCAAAAATCGACAGCGACAATGTCCACATTGGTTGGTCCGTCTAGCTGACCAAGGGATTTTTTTAAAGAGGAGTGCTGTGTCTCTGGATTGAATCAACCAACACATAGAATATCGACTAGAAGATTTGAAAAATATGATTTTTCTAGTTTTCAGATTAACCGATTTTTAACTCACTTGTGCCGTATGGACCAGCAGACTATATGTAGGCTTCATTTATTTCGCAGATGTTCAGCATTCCATTTTCAGCAATTTCCTGAAATTCCATATAGCGTCTCTATTTATCAGCATTTTAAAGGCTCACCTTATAAAAATAAATTCCTCAGAAAAATAAAAAAGTAGACCAGTCATACAGAAGACAGTCAGAATCTCAGAGTTCCTAGTCAGACGGTGCTCATGAATGAATGGGAAAAGAAGAGAATATTGGAGAGAGTGAGAGAGTGAGAGACGCAGAGAAAGGATCTAATTACCCCGGTTCAAAGGGAAGGAAGGGGGCGGAGCTTGAGAGTCATTATAGGATTGGAGCACCTATTCGGACCTTTTAGGAATCAATTCTAGGATTAGAGTCCTCAAAATAGATGCTGTCCTCAAAACAGAATGCTCAAATTTTCTAGAATTTCAAAGCCCAAAAGATCAAAAATAAGAGGACAATTAGAGCACTCTAATTGCTCTTTCTCTCTCTCTCTCTCTCTCTCTCTCTCTCGGTTATGCCATAATTAGACAAAAACTTTGAGCTCAATTATCTCGCTTGCTATAAAAGATATCAAAATTTTGTCAACTAATAAAATATTGGAAGTTTTATGGTTAACATTTTATCAGTTGACCACTTTTTGATATCTTTTACAGAAATTGAGATAATTGAAGTCAAAGAGCAGATTCTTCTATCCTAGGAGCCAGGCTTGGTCGGAATCGGAAAATCGAGTTCTCGATTTTTCCGATTTTCCGATTTTTTTCGGAAAATTTTTCCGTCGGAAAATTTTCCGAAAAATATTCGGAAATTTTTTTCTCGAAATAATCATGCTGCGTTCAAAGTGAAGAGGAAATCTCTACTTTGTATAGTTGAAACGGGTGCAACAGTAACCCAAGCGCGGCGAGACCCGCAATCGGTGTCGATTTACGGGGTCGATTTAAGGTGAATTTTTTAAAAATTAATTTTTTTTGAATGAAAACATACTTTAATCAGGGTTTTCATTACTTTTTCAACATTTTTTTCGGTTTATACTGTTCTTAATAGACTTCTTTTATTTTTCAGTGATTTTTTACCTTCTCTCACTGAAAACACTTGGTTTTTTTCAGACTTTAGGTCATCAAAAGTTTTTCTTAAAATTGTTGGTTTTGCAGTGAGTAACTTTGTCTGAATTTAACGAAAATTTCAGACTAAACATGGGAAAATACTCAGCGGTATTGACAAATCTGGCGGATGGAAGGAAAAAGTGTAATATTTGCAACCGATTCTTCAACGAGCAGAAAGACTACGGCACAAATTTATTTTTTCCATTTCATTTTTGTGCTTTTTGTTGTTTTTGTTGTTTTTGTCAAATAAACTGGTAATTTTTGAATATAAACTGGTAAATTTTGAATTGAAATTCGAGAAAATTGGAGAACTCGATTTTCCGAAAAAAAAAGTCGAGAAAAAATTCGAGAACACGATTTTCCGAATTTGTTTTTCCGAACAAGCCTGCTAGGAGCCCCCTAGCCTTCAACGTTTCTCCTCAAAGATCCAAACATAAAAAACTCTCATGGCTGGCTTTCTTTTACACATTACACAATCATCGTGTGCTTTCTAAGCTTCTTCTCTTGTTTTTTTCTTTTTTCTCTGCGCCTCCTCTTTCCCAACACTCTCTCCCTTTTCTTCTTCTTTCCACCCAAAAGCTTCTTTCCTTCTCATTTCATTCTTACTCCCCTCCCAATGATTGCCAACTGCATAGGCGATCTTCTTTTTTTTAATTGATTTTTTTTGAATATTCTATTTCATATTATCCATTAAATACGTCGTTAAAGGTGAGTTACAACTTATAATTACAGTAACCAGCTAAAATTTCAAAAATTCCCTCAATTTTTAGTCGAAATTTTCGAAATTTAAAACTTCAAGAAGTACAGTAAACCTTATTGGGTTTGTCTGAAAATGTTAGAGTATACTCAGTAAAAGTAGAGCTTCATTTTTGTAGTTGACAACTTTTTTGGAAAATCGATGCCTGAAAAGATAGAGACGCAGGCAGTTAGAGTGCCTCGCAGTCTGCGCCTTCTAAGCTTCAAATAGCTATATCTTGGCTAATAGAACAGCTAGAAAAGTGGTTTTTAGTGGAAAATGTTTTAAAATTTAATTTGTTTTAAATTCTAGACGTTTTGGGCTAAAAACTATTTTTCTAGCTATACTAGGAGATGAGATACGGTTGAAGGGAGGCGCAGACAGCGAGACACTCTAGCTATATGCGTTTCTATCTCTTTTCCAATCGAGCCACAACTCGCTTATTTTTGATTCATGTTTGATTAAACGTAGAATTTCGAATTTCCCAAGTTTGGGGCTTTTTTCTGCAAATGCGCTCTACTGTAATGTTGGGAAAACTAGTCTTAACTGGCTCGGTTTTGATCCATTTCAATGAAAATTTGATTTTTGACTTCCCCTGATTCGGAGCTTCAAAATGAGTTCAATTTTTTGCAAATGCGCTCTATTGCAAATTACAGAATTATGGACCACCCCTCAATGATCTTTGGACCACGGACCGAACAATTCTGCACTGTGAGATTCTATCAACGGAGAAGTGAAATCCTGTGGAACGAAGCCTTAACTAACACAATACTCAACACAACCGGGAAAAATAGATGAGTTTCCAGGAGAAGTTCCAAAAACACCGTACAGGATGCACACGGATTTCCCTCTGATCCACCATGTCGAGATAGAGATGGAACTGGACATACTCAGAGAGGAAACACCACATGACTTCAACTAAGAAGATATTTTCATAGTCTTCCAAACGCTAGTGTGGTGACCGACGAATACCTTCGAGATCAGGACGAGGAGCCAAGGCGCGGAGCTAAAGAAGGATGAAGGAGGACATGGTTCATGAAGAGGAGCAGTGTTAAAGTATGATGGAGATAAGAGGACAAGTGGCAGGAAGATGGAGAGAAGGAATGAAGGATAGAGGTCATGCAGTGATTGGAAGAGACGGAGGAAGGACAGCTGTCCGGAGGATAGTTTAAATAGGTTCTTGCTTAAGTATATTTTCACCCCTTGGAGAATCACTTCGATTCTTACTGATATTTGTTGTTGCTGAAAAGCTAAAGAAATAATAAATCTACTGAAATTCACTGATCTCATCTTATATGATATTCTTCAAACAGAACAGTCTGTTTAATCTGATAAACCTCATTTCTCTTTTCTGTGTTCTGTTCTGAACTTGTTCATGAAAGAATGATAGGGTCCTATCCATAAACCAGCCTGATTGCCGCGCCTCCGGCGCTTCAAACAGATGGCTGGTGCGTCTTCGGTGCAAAACCTCGAATTTCGAAAAACACACACACACAAACACACACACACACACACACACACACACACGCACACACACACACACACACACACACACACACACACACACGCACACTCACACACACACACACACACAAACACACAAACACACACACACACACACAGAATTCGGTGATTATCAATTGTAAAGATTCCCTGTGAAAAAAGATCCTTCTTACTGTTAACCCTTATCTTTTACAGAGTTATCGAGCGTAAGAATGACTAGGCTACCCGAAAATCAAAATCAATCATCTTGAAGCTCTAATGGTCTAGGTTCAAAGGTTCCTAAGGGAATGTCTGAAAATTGGTAAATCTGAAACTAGGTTTTTCTGAAATTTCCTGAAATTGCTCATTCCCTTTTAAGAAGCTAATTTTAGGATCAGAGCGTTTAAATTCAGGTTTTTTCAACCTGCTCTAAAACGTCCCGTTGCAAAATAGTCAACGCAAAACAAAACGCCCAAAAAATTAAGGCTGAAATGTGGTTAGGGAAAAATTAGGCAAAAAAACATTTGAGCTTAATTATCTCGATTGCTATTAAAAGCTATACTTTAATTCAAGTTATCTCGGTTACTGTAACAGATATCAAAATTGTAACAATTATCAAAATGTATGAAATTTTATGCTTAACATTTTATTAATTGACTACTTTTTGATGGCCCATCTATCCTAGAAGCACCTAGTCATTACTTTGACAGAATATCCAAAGGTCAAAAAACTAGGTGTGGACACTTGATTACCTAAAAATCGTAAAAACAGAAGTTAGATTTTTTCAAAACTTCTTAGATACCGTTTTTTTGCAATTTGGAAATTTTGGAAAGTTCTGAAGGTCTAAAAATTCAATCAAAATCTTTTGGAAACATGTTTTTTCTGAAAATTCTCAAATTCCTTTGTTACGACAAGAGTATAAATAATAATAATTGCATGACCCAGTGACCTAGTTTCTATGTAACCCCCTTCATGCCACGTGGCTCGTTGCCACGTGCACTTCCTGTCTCTTGTCTTGTTTTCAGCTAATCGGCACTTCCCTTGTCACCCTGTCTTCTATCTAAACCTTGTCCCCGTCTACATATTCCTATAATATTCTCTGATAATTACCGGCTATAATAAATCTTCTAAATATATAGCATCCTTAAAACTGAAATATTCTGAAATTTCAATACAAAATTTATATCTCGCAAAATTGCTTTATTAAAAAAAGAAAAATGGAAGTTTTAAAAAATATTCTAAAAAATTGGTGGTGGAGGGCGTCAATCATCCCGGTGCTGGTTGGTGGATCTGAAAATCAATAATACTTGAAAATTTTGGCAAACTCGCTCTACTGCTAATTTATAGAAAACTGGTTATAACTCGGTTAGTTTTCATTCAATCTTTATGAAAGCTAAATTTTTGAATTCTACAAATTCGGGGCTTTAAAATGAGTATAATTATGTTTTGTTTTTCGAAAATTTGCACGAAAAAATTTTATATACCTTATGCTTCCCGGTTGATTGGTCTTCGGATTCTGATTTGTTGTCTCATATTGCTAGGCTAAAAATGATCAAAATTATTTCTAGTTTTGCCTTCTTGGCACAAACTCACTGAGCTGGGCTCTATTACTCTCGTCCGAAATCAATGCACGTTGCGGCCGAAAATTTACTCCAAATCGCATCGTAGGTCGCACAACGAAAACAACAAATGGATGCATGCGTCTTTAAATACCGTACCTCGGACGTTTTTTATTTTGGGCCCTATTGTCTATTCAATAAAACGTGGGCGGGCCGCCTGTTGC